TTCTAATTACTATTATCAAATATTTGTAGTATAAGTATATCTCAACTAAATGCATTTCTAATTACTACTTAAGTCTTAACTATAATTTAGTTGTTCAAAAATTATATATTTTAATATTTGTTTTCCAATCAATCTTCAAATTTTTTTCAAATTTTCAAATTTTGTTTTTTTCACAGGCCAGCGGGTTAACCGCGGCCCGTGAAGGTGCAACCCGTGAAGCCCGCGGGTCACACCTACTTAACCTGTGAACCGCCCGCTTAGGTTACAAGTTGGCCCGCGGTCCTAAGTCGATCCGGGTTGGTTTTCAAGGGTGTGGCTGGCCCGGCTGTCTTAACACCTCTAGAGATGAGTACGTGTTAGCTTATCAGACCAAGTGGGAACATGGCAAACACCTGAAGAAGGTGTGGGTCGTCCGGTAAGGGCTGAACCCCGTGGTGTCTACTGGGTGCTTTTAAGTTGTTTGATTAGCCATTGTTTGATCCCCATTATTTTCAAAAGTTATTTTTTCTCTCTTATTTTTAATCACACATTTTTCGATAAAATAATATTACACGCAAAATCAGAATTTTTCCTTATTTTTAACCACACAATATCCATCAAAATATTATTCCAAAATGCATTTTGGACAAAAAAAAAAAGGGACTTAAACAGGCTATTATGTATACTCCACGTTATTACCTTTTTATTTAAGGTAGTTTAGTTATTTCCTAATTCCTTTCTAGGGTTTGGTATTTAAACATTTTGCCTTTCATTGTGAGACTTGTTTCATTTTAATTAAAACTTATACACACAACATTTTCTTCATATTTCTTGATCTTGAATTGATTATATGCGGGTTTTCACTTCATGATCATTGATCAATGTGTTACTCTTTATTCACGCTTCATTTGTCACTTTTGCTTTCTTTTCCTCTTACTACTAAAATGTGTCAGTTCATTAGGTTGTCTCTTGTTCGTCCATAGATTCAACAGTAATTCGAAAGGATGTCCTTATGACTCTTGGCAAGCACGATACAGAACTCAACTGACTAGACACCTCGACCATCAGATCACACGCCACGTTTGATCAGAATTGATAGTCGAGCTGCTCGTCATCATGCTTTCAGAAGTTGGGAGAATACTTTGAGCACAACACTTTTGCAAAAAACCACACAATGGTGTTTGTTACACAATTTAATATATAGGCATTCTGAGACAAGATACAACAGAAGTATATGTAAATGATATATGAATAATGCAACTCAGGAATTTTTCTTCTCCTTCTTCTCCTTCCATTCTTTGATTTCAGCATCAATTTTTGCTTTAACCCGAGCATTGAACCCTGGGTATGGTTCATAGCCAAAGAATGACAGAGCCTGTGAGGAACGGATATCTCTTAGTATCAAAAATTAACATATAATAACTAACAAGAAAATTTCACGCGTTGAGGGAACTGATAAAATTACCTCCAGCAGTACAAAGAAAGGCGCCATTAGCAATGCTTGAGCCAGGTTGTCTAAAAGAGCAGGTGCTCGTTTCTACAAATTGAAATGCTACATGTAACGAAGAAGAAAAAATGAAATAGTGTATAAGCGATAGCATATTATGAGAGTAATCACCTCAAATACGCCATGGCCTATGAACTGTCCAGTCCAGCAGAGTAACTGAGATGCCAGGACAACCTGATAAAATCATAGTCATTATCAGTATCAAACTACACATGGTTTGTGACTAAACATCTTAAAAGTGATTATTGAACAAATTTTTTCAGGTAAGTCTTGATAACCAGTGTCATTTCAAATAACTCCTGTTACTCATATAACACAATAAATTCCATCTAACACCATCATTTGCAAAAACAGGACAAAAAAATTCAGGTGGCTAAATTTCAATTTGTAGTTGTTGACATACAAAAAGTGTAGTCTAAATCGAGTAGCCCAAGGGATGAAACCCAATTAGGAAGTCCAAGATGAAGGCCCAAATATGACTATTAATGAATGCAGTGGAGGCTCACGAACAAGGTACCATCATCGCCCAAACTTGCAAGACGCCCAAGATCTGAGCGAGTGGAGTATCTTAAAATCGCCCAGAGCGAACGAGCCTATTCTCGCCCAAACCTTCGAATTGCCCAGGATCTTAGCAAACCTGAAGTAATATGGTTATTCAAAGCAGCAGTTATTGAAACTGGTTATTGAACAACCTTATCACACCCCACGATCCAAGAATCACAGTTGTAGGCGGTTGAACGACGAGAGTAATGACATTAGAGAAGGTAGTTCCACGACAAGTCAGTCATCATGAAGAAAGTGGATACTTGCAATCAAGTAGTTTCCAAGCGATTTGTCATGAAGGAATTATCAAGNCGGACATAATAGTCAATTGATGATATTATAAAATATTTTAGGCAAAGATAAATAAATTTGGCTTCTTTGAAGCGATGGATCTATTTACCTGAATAATTTTGACTTAAAGAAAAGGCTAAACCTAGTTAATTACCCTAATTAAAAGTTAGTAGGTCCAAACTCACTAAGATTAATTAAGTTCCTGTTTGGCGAGAATTAAAATCAAATTTTTAGAAAATTTTTGATAAAAGTTGATGAAATACGTAGTTACAAAGTCGTAGGTTCCATACTTAGAGTGTGTTTGGTAGGGATTGTTGAGGGAAGAATTGATTTTTGAATAGTGATATGATGGGAAATGTGTGGTTGAAAAAGAAGAAAAAATTATTGATGTGATGGAAAATATTATTTTATTGAAAAATGTGCGGTTGAAAATGAGAATTAATTTGAGAATCAATTCTCAAATCACTACCAAACACCCCCTAAATTTGTAAGAGAAAAGAACAGAACCAGAGCGCCCGAAACCGCCATATACGATGTTTATGAAGTTGAAATCAGAAGCATGGACTTCATTTTCCTATCATGTGTAAACTAAAAATTTTGAAAGCTGAAAGAATTATGATGAAGTTAAGGTCATCTCATGGAGCATCCATATACAGAATACACAATTAGATAACCAAATACTCTCAACATGGACAAATTTGCTGTGAATGTTTTACACCACAAAAACTAATAGAAGAACCTTGTAGATATCGTTACAATCCATTTTCATCAAAAAGTTCAGGAAAATCAATAACCAAAATTCTGAATTCAAAAGCCGAAATAAAATGGATTTGATGATTACAGTATGGGGGGTAAATATTAATTCCTAATTAGAAAACTATTTGAATTAATCATTATTCACTTCCACTCACCCTGAAGAATAAGTACGTAAAACTGTAAAAGACATCAACCAATGGGACTAAAAATTCCGATAAAGGGGAAATGCTTGTAGGATGTAGAATGATGTTAAAGCTATGCGCTAAATTACTGGTTTAAGAATTCCGATATGTGAAGAGTCTCGTAGTGTGTTCAGACAGGTAACAATACAGAAAAAGGTTGAAAACTCAGAGAGTTTAGAACTGAAGTCTTCTATTATTGAACCTGTCATAGTTGTATAGTCCACATCTTTTCAATGCCGAAAGGAGTTAAAATTCAACAGCTTAAGATAATATTAAGCTACAAAATCAGGTCTATTGATGTCTGCTTATTTGAGATATCAGTTCTATCCTTTTGTTTATCCATTGTCAACAACCTTGGTCCTTTCCTCAATGCCTTTTCTTTATCATAACTCTAGTTTCCATGTATAAATTATTTGTAACATAATCCGAATCATTATGGATTAATTTTCATGGATTAAACAGAAACAGATTAATTTCAATAAGTAAAACTAGTTATAACTTATAATTCATCATCAAAATATAAAAAGAAAAAAAAAAGGAAAAGCAATAAATTACCTTCCAAGCCAAAGAATATCCCAGACGATTTGCAACAGAACTGCTTGCAACCCAGCAGAAAAAGCAAAGCAAAGCAGCCAAAGAACCAGCTTTCTTATCCAAACTCATATAGAACAGGGCATAAATTACAGTGAGCAAGAACCCAAAATTCAAGACCAATACAATATGATCAGACAAAACAATTGGGGAATTCTTGAATAAAGGAGGTGTAAAATTGAAAAGAACAAGAGCTGTGAAAAAGATTGGCCAAACAAACAACATATGAATAAAAATATTTATCGGGTTGCTGTGGTATGCTCCATAGAAGGCAAAGTGTTTTTCCAAATCCAATAAACCCATCTGATAAATTTGCTGATTTTTTTGAGTTGGGATTTTGATTTTAGGAAGATTGAATGATGGGTATTTTGATGGAGAAACAGACGATGGGTTTGTCGAATAGTAGAGGTCAGGCCGGTGAAACTTGGGATTCTTGACGATGTTGCTTATGCATGTCAACGTCGTTTCTTCACTCTCTCTATTTATTATTATTATTTTTTTTTTTCTGATTTTGCAATCAAAATTCTTGGGCTTGTTTATTCATTTGTTTTGATTAGTCTTTAATCAAGATTCTAGAGCCACGAACTAAGCATATAAATTTATCAACCTTGTTAAAAAAAAAAAAAGACAATTTTTGCACTAATCACTTGTTGTCATACATTCTTCATCTATCATCTAGGATATTAAATTCATCTGATAAATTGGTATTATCCTACATTTACATAATAAAATATTTTACACGTTCTTCCAAAAAAATTTCTACTTTTTAACGACATATTCTTCTAAAAATACTATTCAAAACTCTTTTCTTTTTTTTTTTTTCTAATTATTGGGAATCAAACATGCACTAAATTTATTATGATATGATTATGATACATTGAAATGGAAAATAAATACTAATTTTTATGATATTTGTTTAATCAAATTATAATAATAACTGTGAAAAAAATTGGTAAGTAGAAATGTCAAATGACGTTTTTCTTTATAAAAAACCCATTGAAAGTATACAAGGAAATGATGCATATAAAGCCCAATTCATGTGCAAGCCCTTTATAAGTCCGCCAGAAAACCCAAAAAACGAAGGAAAAAAAAGGGGGTATTTCAAAAGTAAGAAGAATGGCCCATGCAGGTCTCGAACCTGCGACCTTCGCGTTATTAGCACGACGCTCTAACCAACTGAGCTAATAGGCCAGTTGACACTTCAGAGCTATATTATTTAGTGTATTATATCTTTAAGTAAATTCTATTCCACCAACCTTCTATTTAAGGATAAATTCTAATGACCGTCCGAGAATAATCAGAGTACAAAATATTTCCAACATTTACTTCTGTTTAACCTGAACTACAATTAAAATGTGTCGTTTTAAAATATTTGCATTTTAAATACCCAAAAACTTGAGGATTGGAGTGGAAAAGTCAAGAAAACTCAAACCGTGCAACAGACTCAAGTGCTTAATTTGTCAATGTTACATCCATCGTATGTCAAAAATTTATGGATTTCTCTGCTTCTACGTAAGCAGAGCTGTCAAAATTTCACCAGATGCTAATGTGCTGATGTGGTAGCATATGTTTGGCCTGATTTTTTTATTTTTGCCATTATAGAATAAAAACTGCTGACAAAATTATGGTAGCATATTTTTGTACACACAGAAGGGCTGAAAATTTATCAGAGGCACCAACATCTCATCCGAAGATGATACAATTCAAATGAATGAATGAAATCATTCATGCTACTTGTACAGGCCCCTCCACCTATAGGGGGGCGCCAAGTTTAAGTACAGGGCCCATGTGGCCATGTACGACCATTACTATCCTAATGAAATAATTAGTACTAGAACATGGTTTTTGGGAATGACCATGTTTTGTTAGAAAATTATTTTGTAAAATCACGTGATTGAAAATATGGGTTGTCATGAATTATCGATTTTGAAAGAAAGAATAGAATATAGCTAGTTTAACCGTGTTCCATATCACTAAATATAGATAGACTCGCAATTACGTAGACATGTCCATTTACAGACATCAATTTTAAAACCTGCTACACCAAACACAACTGTAAAACATACATATTTTATGATTAATCAATCGTATTTATGGTTCCTCATCACCACCATGATATTACAATCGTATTCATCTGCTGTCTTAAAATGTCGTACTTTAATATACTTTGTACGAGTCACAATAAAGAATATAACGGATTAAAAGTAAAAAATAATATTCTTTTCCAATATTTATAACTATTTCTTTAACTTGGAGTATGCAATATTTTCCCAAAAATAAAAGTGAGAATCATTGCTGTCCCATTGGATTTATAAACTCAAGTTGGTTCCAATACCATGGGTGCATCGTTGAAAAAGAAGGTTCCAAAACTATGGGCTCTCCATGCAATTGATACTGCAGACTTTATCCCTCAATCCGATTGAGGATAACGGATCCTCCAACTCACATGTTTACATAGAGAAATGGGCTAAAGTTTAGGGAAATTCGAGCCATAAGGCCATATTTATTTATTTATGGGAAAAATTCATAAATAAGATGTATATTTTACACCAATTCAAAAATTAGATTTTTTTTANTTTATGAAATAATAAATTATTAAGTCATTTTATTATTAAATATATAATATAATTAACCCATCTCACATGCATCACCCATATCGCTGCGGGAACTATTCCGGCGATCATTTCGACCACCACTCTTTTCGGCGACTATTCCGACGACCGTTCCGGCGATTGCTTTGATTCCGAAAATTATTCCGACGATTATTCCGGTGACCATTCTGGTCACAGATTTACAATTTACGGTCATAGCTCAAAATTTTTGTAGGTCACAATTAATTCGTTGTTCACAGATTTCAAAATTAGTTGGTCACAGATCAAAATTTATAGGTCACACGGTCACAGATTTCCAAATTAATTGGTCACAGATTTTTTACGGTCACAGATTATATAATTTTTAGGTCACAGATAAAAAAATGGTTGGTCACGGATTATATTTTTAGTCACAAATTACCGAATTTTAAGGTCACAGATTATATTTTTAGTCACAAAACCAAAATCACAAACGCTCTTCATCACGTCGCCACTGCCACCACTACCACCAACAATAACAATACAACACCACGAACACAACATTACCATTATCAGCACCACCATCAAATTAGATCTAAACCTGCCAACCCACCACACACTCCACGACGGGTCAAAAACCACACACCCACGCCGCCAATACCACCGCACCCACAACACACACACATCCACCACATACCACATCTGCAGTTAAACACCACATCCTCTACGCCGGCTGCCGTTCACAGCACACACACCAACTGAAAGGCGGCCGGCAACCACTAATGGCACACACCCTGCGAAAGGCACCCACTAACGGCACACACCCCGCGAACGGCAGCGTCGTGCTACGCTACTCCGTTTAAAGCATCTTCGCGTCGCGATGCTGCTCCGTTCAAAGCAGCGTCGCGCGACGCTGCTACCGACAGCGTCGGACGCAGAGAGACGAGGGAGAGAGTTGGAGTGGGAGGGGGCTCCTCGAGGGCGCAGCACAGCAACGATGAAGCCACTGTTTGACTCTCCGACGACGGGAGCTCCTCAAGGGCGACGACGATCTAAAGAAAATGGAGAGGTTAGAGAGAGACGAGGTAGAGAGAGACGATGAGAGAATGGGAGGTAGATGAAAAATGATTTAGGGTTTGAGATTGGGTAGGGTGGGAATAATATTTAATTTTTAAATCAATACTTGAATTTTGATTAAAAAATCTTCTCACCTGATTTTTGCACTCTAATCTTTAAACACCTGATTTTTTATAATTTCCCTTTATTTATTCAACCAATTTTCTTTTATTCTTTTTCAAGAATATGAATAGCGTTTGAAACACACTACACATACAAAAGGGAAAATCAACAGAAATGGACCAAAATACTCACACCACGTGGGGCCCGCACATTATTTATTTATTTTTAATACATAGTGGGGCCCACCCCTTTGTGAGTTTTCTGGCGCATTTCCTTGGCTTAATTTCTGTACAAATGACTAAAACTATAGCGTTTTGTACCGATTAGATAAAAATGAAATATGCTGATAACTCTTCATTGATAGGCATGTTGATTAGATCTCACCATCAAATCAAATGAAATGTGAATAGTCCGTCCTCTAATTAAAATAAAGACATTTTTCAGTTACACGTTTGAAAAACTTATTTATGTATACTTGGAAGGTGATAAAATGCAGGTTCGGTAATGTAAATAATTTTATAATATTATCTGTAATATTTCCACGATTTTTTGAGATTATTTATTAATGATATGATTGAGTAAACTAAAGTAATTTTTTTAGAGTATTTGTAACGGGTTGTAAACATTTTTAATGATTTGTGAAAGGGAATATTTTGATTATGGTAAAAAATATTTAAAATATAACCCTTAAAAAATTAATTATACTTTGGATACTGTTATTGTGAGACGCAATCTTATCCAATAAAAAAAAGCAATGGTCAACCAAATATAATAAAGTGATATATTACAAATTGCCCACATCTCAAAGCGTCTATTAATGTAAAAGATTTGTTGGGATTTTGTCCCCAATCCTGCACGACATTAGCAGATTTTTCTAAAAAAGACAAGAAGTCAGTGCTAAGTGATAAAATTTCAAATAGAATAAAAATGAAAATATAGATTAATTTATAAGAGTTTAAGTAACTCCTCCTGATAAGGTTGATATTTTAAAATGGAACCTCAAATCTTAACATGATATTAGAACCCATTAAACTCCAACGAATAATTCGATCCGAATAAAACTCAAAAAATTGAGCACTCGAATTTCAAGATTTGTCTGATCAAATGAGTCACCATCTTGTGGAGACATGTTAATGTATAAAATTTCACATCGAATAAAGATGAAAACATAGACCAATTTATAAAAATTTGTGCTACTCCTCTTAATAAGATTGACTTTTTAAGATGAAACTTTAAATTTTAACAGTGAGAATGACACAATTTTGTGTTACTTATTTATCAGCCTTTTTGCCACCTACCCACATTAGCGAAAGACGGGCTTTACAATTTTAACAAGTGATCATTAATTTTCGGCCATAAATGTAAAAGATAGTCTTGCATGTGTTTTCATGCACCTTTTATTTCACTTTATATATTAGTCAAGGTTTTTGGGCCTCAATTTCTTCACAAGAATTGTTAGCATACCGTACTGAACTTGAGCCTTTCATTTTTATCGAACTTACTTTTCTTGTTTTTTTTTTTTTTTAAGAATAATGATAATACATTTATCTTTTTTTGATAGTTATAGTACATGTATATTTGAGTATCTGACGATTATTGTCAATCACATTAATCTTAAAGGTTTATTCGGATTTTATTAAATAATTTTGAAATCTAAAGAAACAATGATATTTCACGGGTAAGGAGATGCGAGGTAACATCAGAAGTAGAATTATCGAACGAATAGCAGCATTCATCGAGAATTGACTAGTTCGTCATATTTCATTTTATCGACAAATGAAATAGATTATATAGGATTGGTACCATCCATTCCAATAGCAGTTAACTATCAAATCATCTGAAAATTGTTGACTTCTCAAATCTTGTGTGGGGCCCAACTTTGACTCCAACGACTGGAATTCTCATTCTTTTGCCCAAAATAATGAGCATCAAACAGATGCTAACCACTTAAACGGCGAGTTCGTCATATTTCATTTTATTGACAAATGAAACAAATTATATCGGATTGGTACCATCCATTCCAGAGTGGTTGGATTCTATTCAACACGCCCACTGACTTGGAGGCTTGGCACACATTTTTCGACTTAGTGCACGTCTCTTTCAAATTTCTTTCGAACAATATATAAAATTCGTTGTGTCAAATAGACTGAGGCAATGCCAAGCCTAGTTTGCAAAGGAAAAGTGCAACACGATTTGTCTCCAAAACCATGGGCGTTCTATACTGCAAACTTTATCTCCAAATCGCGCATTTGCAGCGTGGAATGGGACAAATTTTATCCACAAAAATAGGTAGTGTCCTTTAATAACTTCTGAAAAAAAGTATCTACCCTAATCTGCAAAGCTTTTTCCAATTAAATAAATAGTTCACATGTTACCCATGTGAATTTATTATTTTTATAATTTAATGGTTAAAGAATAATGGTATAACTTCTAAAGATATAAAATTAATTTCATAATATTTTCTTTAATAGTAATCCCGGTGTAATATATATTCTGTTCGGCAGATATCTTTCTAAGAAAAAAATAAATTTTCTCTAAGAATGTGTCGTTAGAAGTGAGAAAAAGTTCTAGATCTAGTGGAAAATATTAATTTAAAAAAAAAAATCTTCGACAAACAAGTGTGCGGATCTCAATTTATTACACGTTATTGCAAATACTCCTCGATTTTGCTAAATATTACCGATATTGGTTATAATATTGAAATCTAACACGAAACATCAATTATGTAATTAAAATTTATTATATACGTTAAATATTTGATACATTAAATTAAACAATATTATATATGACAATGACAAATTTTTTATATATCGTTTTTTTTTTCTTTTCAAAAACTTATTCTTCTTATTAATTGAGATTTCGATAATCAAAATTAAGATATCACTTCATTATCCTTTTATTCAAATATTGACTCTGCATTGAGATCTCGTAACATATCCTATTAAGGATAGTTCAGATTTTATCCTTTGATAAGATTATTTTTGATATTTATATAGAATATAGAAAATTATAATCGTGTCTAATAATTTTCGGCCCGAGTATTCACATATCGAATGCTAACATAGCAATGAATGTGATCAAGATTTGTACTAGATTTTTACACTTTTCGACCTCCATATTGATTGAAAATGAAACCTATACCTAAGTTACATCATTCAAGAGAGAAAAGCAAGCGATTAAAACCTTAAAATTATTAGAAGCGCGATGTTTATTGAATAGACTTTTCAATATTCAAATCCATTTTTGATGGGTTCAATCTATAATTCAAAAGGATTTCTTAAGATTACATTATAAATTCTGAAATAAAATAAATAAAATCGAGAGGACGCGAGTGAATGTACTTATCTGAGCAAAAATCAAGAAATATGAAAAAGAAAGATACGAAAAATATAATTGTGAGCGAAAATCAAAGGTAAGGAGGAGAGAAAGAGAAAGCTTTAAATTTGACCGCTTCGTCCCATCTAATTGAATATCTAAGTGACTACATCTACACAAACTTTCAATAGCATCGTGTTATCTAGATAGAGTCCTACCATATTATAAGCTTGTTTGAAAGGAATTAAAATCCAATTAAAATTGAAAATATAATCGTTATTGGGTCTCACTCGTCTAATAAAAGTTAACAATAACGATTAGTTTTTCAATTTTAATCCGATTTTAATTCCTCCCGAACAAACTATATGTAGACAATATTTTCTACAATATCCAAAAATTTATTCATTTTACATGTTATGTAAATAGAGTCCTATTATTCTGCATCTAGACGAAGTTTTCAACGCCAATTCTTTTATGGACTTTAATGTAATTTGCTGTAGATTTCCTCATCCAATATTTTGGACAGTTAGACAATGTCAGCAGTTGAAGTAATAACAGTCCCATAATCTCCCCAACTACCTAAAAAATTTGCCTGACAAATTACGTACAGTGATATAGGGTTTCTCATACTAAAATTAATCCTAACCTCAAAAAGGACAAAAACTCATAAATCACGAAAAGAATTAGAATCCTATGCTTAATGCTAGCTTCTCTCTTATCCACAAAACACAAATCTCATATAATTTAATCAAATTAATCAATTGTTGATAGAACAATGCTACTAGTATATCGGGATGTACATCACGGTGTATACCCTCTTCATAAGGATAAGGGATCTACTCGAATATTTTATTCAAGTGGACCCCTCCATGTAAGGGGATATAGATCTTGATATACACTTTTTGATGTACAAGTAACATTTTTCTTGTTGATATCATAATTGTAGGATTAAAATCTCTCGAAAAAATATTGTTTTGGATAATGATAATTTTATCCAATGACCCCACCTACTCTTCACTTTGGCCGTGTTTTATATATCCCACAAACTTTCCTCTTCCCCATACAAAGCTTCAAGAAGACAAAATCGAACCCTTCTTTCGAGTTTTCCTCAACCAACAATTTTTTATATTTTCTCACTTTTTCTTGAAAGTATAGTTTGTGGGTCTTGCTTTGGATTTCAGTTTCTGGGTCCTTTGTGCTTTGTTATTGGGTTCTTGATCTACAAAGAGACGAGGAGTTTTGTGCGTTTGGATGATATAGGGCTGAATTTCTCATTTCTTGAATATATATTTTGTGGGTCTTTCTTGGATTGGTTTTCTTGATTAATAAGTGCCAAAATTAGGGTTATCGATCTACGAAGAGAGGAGAAATTTTGCGGGGGGTTTTTTTGTATTTGATGTTATAGTGTTGAAAATTTCAAGAATCTTGAAGAAATGTCTCGATCTTTAAAATCTGGTTTTCCTGTTTCTGGGTCCAACGGGTCCATTTGCAAGAACAGAGCCATAGGGTATTATGGGGTTTCTCCTTCAATTGTGAATCTTCAGTTTGCACATTCAAAATCGAAGGAGTTTATGGGAAAGCCCCTTGAATTTTCAGATCAGAAAATTGTTACCAATTTGAATACCAAAGCTCCAAGATACACCCCTGTCAATGTAAGTTCTTGTATTTTTCTTCATAAATATTTTGTTTTTGATTTAGGGTTTCAAAAATTGATCTTTTGGTTTTTTGTGATTTAGGCACAGGCATCAATATGTATTAGCAGAGCCCTAAGATGGTGGGAAAAGACCCTTAAGCCCAACATGATAGAGATCCATTCTGCACAAGAAATTGTTGATTCTTTGTTAAATGCTGGTGATAGATTGGTTATAATTGACTTTTATTCTCCTGGTTGTGGAGGCTGCAAAGCATTGCATCCTAAGGTAAATTTTTTACTTGCAGAAAAGTTCATTATCTATACTCCTAATTGATTATTTTTGCCTTCAATTTATTGATCTTGAATAATAATTAATTTCAACAGATCTGTCAACTGGCTGAATCAAACCCTGATGCAGTTTTCCTTAAGGTTAATTATGAAGAACTTAAGACTATGTGCCATAGTCTTCACATTCATGTACTGCCCTTCTTTAGATTCTACAGAGGTGCAGAGGGCAAGTTGTGTAGTTTCAGCTGTACTAATGCAACTGTAAGTAATTTTATCCATTTTAATTCAGGCAGTCAACTCCAAATTTTTCAATAACCTTTTCCTGAGATTTCAATTTCATTGTTGTTTTCAGATCAAGAAATTCAAAGATGCATTAGCAAAATATGGGACTGAAAGGTGTAGTCTTGGTCCAGCCAAAGGTCTTGAGGAATCAGAATTATTGGCTTTAGCTTCAACTGGACAGATTTCAAGAAAATTACAGTCAGATTTCACAGAGGAAGATAATAAAATGGAAGATTTGGTTCTCAAAGAGATTATTCCATCAAATGCATATGGCAAAGACGAGATTAAAATGGGATTTAAGGAAGGCAATGCAGTATTAATGGCCTAAGAAGATTGAATTTTAGTTTATTTTTATGGAGTATAAAATAGCTCCAATTTTTATTTTTATTTTCATGTTGAGACGTAAATATTTATGGGATTTCCAAAAGCAGGGCTCTGGATTTTTTGGACAAGTCCTGCAGATTGGTTAATCTGTCTTTGGTTCTGTATTCTGAGATTAAATGGAAAATTTATCCTTTTAGGATATAGGTGACTTGTTATTTTAATTTTTTTGTTCAAATGCATGGTGGCGGCTGCAGAGTTTCTTGAGCAGATTTAGGGTTAGTCTAAACTGTCATCTAATAATGTGAAAATTAAATTCTCCCCTACATTTAAACTTTCAAATTCTAAAATCAGATTTGTAGCTCCAATTTTTATTTTTATTTTTATTTTCATGTTGAGACGTAAATATTTATGGGATTTCCAAAAGCAGGGCTCTGGATTTTTTGGACAAGTCCTGCTGATTGGTTAATCTGTCTTTGGTTCTGTATTCTGAGATTAAAAGGAAAATTTATCCTTTTAGGATATATTTCTATTTGGTGACTCGTTATTTTAATTTTTTTGTTCAAATGCATGGTGGCGGCTGCAGAGTTTCTTGAGCAGATTTAGGGTTAGTCTAAACTGTCATCTAATAACTAAGAGTAAGCCCATCTATGGTACACATTTGAAATACATTCTTTCAAAATTCATTTTCAATCGCACATTCTTTAATAAAATAATATTTTCTATCACATCAATAATTTTTCCTTACTTTTTAACCATATATTTCTCATCATATCACTATATAAAATACATTCTTTTTTTCAATAATATCCATCAAACACATCATAAGTATAATCAATTTATTGGTTTGGGGTCGACGTAGAAAATCTCAGAGTGTGTTTGATGGATATTATTGAAAAAAGAATGTATTTTAAATAGTGATATAATGAGAAATATTTGGTTAAAAAGTAAGGAAAAATTATTGATGTGATAGAAAATATTATTTTATTAAAACTTATGTAGTTAAAAATGAGTTTTGAAAAAATGTATTTTAAAAGAAGGTGTACCAAATAGGACTTGATTCAGATATACATTTGTGTTTTAATTTGTTTGAATTACAACCTTTTTGTCTTTAAATAATCTATAATATAAAATTAAACCAAACTAAAAAAAATTGGTTGATAAAAATGTAAAGATTTGATTTATTTTAGTTTGATAATAGGTCAAAAATTACTCAAACAAACTGTGTTCAACTCAAGTAACTAAGTTCATATTTGGTCAATTAAAAAAATTGAATAAATTTAAATCAAAGCAAATAATTAATTTTACATTCTCACAATAGCATATTTCATTAATTTTTATCATAATCTCGGACTTGAGGACAAAGAATGAGCACGAATATAATCCCTTTTGATAACTGTAAATGGGTGGAATTGAATCTCCAATTTTAAAACAAAGGCATCGAGGTATGTCCTCGTCACTCCTCCGATGCTTAAATCGGAAAGAGAATTTATACGTAGGGATGTAAACTGAAAATTATTTTTTAACAGCGTACCTGATTAATGAGCCTTACCTCTGTATTTATATATGTTAGTGGTTAAATCCTAGAATGATCGAAAAGTGGGACAACCTTATCCTTTTTGTGTAAGGTGGTGGAGTTGTGATGAAATTGTATCTTTGAATTTGATATGGATCATGAGTCTAAGTATTTGGATGGGCATCAACATTATGTGACGCAATTGGGGTAGGATAAGAATTTTTATAGAGTACAAAGAGATAGATTGGCCCCCATAGCAAAGCCCGAACTCGATCATGCCCGAGCCGATGTAAAAAAATGTTGCGATGGGAATGTTCTGGTTGAGAGGGCTCGTGTTCGGGTATTGACTTTGCACATATCATTGGTCCCCGTGCATTCGTGTCGCAGCTCAAATTTCAACTAGTTGGGGGTGCGAGCTTGCAAGATGAAATGCAAACTATGGATCGCGGACGACCTCAATCATGGTTGTGTGGTACATGCATGCATGCGACACATGGACGCCACGTGTGAATTTGTACAAGTTGTTGGATGGCTGCCACATGGGTCGGGTTCAAGGGCCCAAATCTTTTGACTTTTGAGATTCCACAATGCCTATAAATACCCCCATTCTCACTTTCATTTTTCACCTCCCTACACAAGGAAAATACAAGTTCGAGTTTGGACTTTATAGTGAGTATTTTGGGCATCCTTGGATAAGGTAAGAGCTCGATATTTAAAGATTATCTTAATTTCAATAGTTAGATGTCGAGCAGTAGTGAAAGAGATTCCTCTGAGAGGTCATGCGATAGTAACGAAGTAAGTCTAGGAGCGTCCCTTACCCTCATGGCCGTACCTATAAACTCTCACTCTCGAGAACAAGTTCTCCTTGCCTATTCCAAACTTTGTACCTTGTATAAGGAGCACATGATAATTTCCATAGCTAGGAAGTACGGGGTTATGCCTTCTTGTGATATCAGGGCGCTCGAGTGATTGATGCTTGAGAGGGGGAGAAGATGTTTTTTAGGGACACCCTGAAGGGAGGTCCTAGGGGCCCCCTTCACCTATTCTTCATCGAGTTGTTGGTTACGTTCCTTATGTGTTCGGGCCAATTGGCCCCTAATAGGTGGAGGATGTTAATTTATTTTTTTATTACCTGTAGGTACTTAGGAATTAACCTTAGGATCGACTTGTTGAAGATGGTGTACGAACTTAAGTTTGCACCTGGGTTCAACTGTTTTGTTTTCTTATCATCCCGATGAAGGTTCAGGACACCTAAGATCCCAAGATGCCGAGTTCTCTTCGAGGGTGGAAACAACGCTTCTTTTTTGTCAAACCCCAAGACCTCGACCACCCTTTTAGCCCTAGGTGGGAAATTCCTGATACTGTTCGTTTCAATGAGGGTTAGGCTTATTTGGAGATATTAGAAAATGATAAGGTACGGCTAGAGAGCCTCGATCCTATTACTTACAAACTCGAGGATCTTCTCGAGGATAACATCCTTGATCTTGCAAATGTGAAAGGCATGGAGGGTAGGGTACTAATCTCTGTGGAATAAATTTTTTTTTGACTTTCCTCGACCTTTTGCTTGAGTTAATACCTTGTTTACTTTTTGTAGCTATTGAAATGAATTTCGGTCCATCCAACCTTCAAGCCTCAATCAACCGTAAGCCCAAAGGGCCTCAGGCCAAATCTATTGTCCCAAATAAAGGGAAGAAGAGATCGATGGATGTCCCTCGAGCGTCATTCCCAGGGGTTGAGGCCAGCCCTCGAGGTCTAGGAGCCCTATCGTTGCTATCTCTCATGCTCGCTCGAATGTTCAGGCTTCTATTCCTTGATATACTCTTGAAATCGTTGACTTGGAGGATGACCATATTCCTTCTATGAGCTCAGTGATGGCGGACCACGAGAAATGCTCGCTTGTGCCGATCATTGTTTCAAAAGATAACCTCAAGTTCGATGAAGGCATGAAGAACCTCGAGATTCTAACTCTAAAGGTAATTCCTGAACTTGCTAAGTTTTATTGATCTTGTATTCGACCGTAGCTTTTATTTTTGTCCATTTCAGAATTCAAGAGTGGCTCAGTGATTGTTTTTAAAAGGAGTGAATGGCCGGGCTATCAGAGTCATTTGAACGCATCCAAAAAAGTGTTGCTGAGCTCGAGACTGAACACGACATGGCTCAATCCGAGGCCAAAAAAATGATAGACGAGGTCGGAGTTGTGAAAGATGCGGCTGAGGAATTGAAGCTCGAGCTAGAGGATGTAAAAATGGGTTATGAAGAAAGGCTTAGTCAAGTTCGAGTTTAGACGGTCGAAGATTTCAAGAAGTCATCAGAGTTTGGGCAGATGCAAAGAGACTATGGTGCTGGGTCGTACAACTATGCCTTCAAACTAGCTCATGCTTTTTTGAGGACTAAGCTGTCGGGGATTTGAAGGGAATTTCTAATGACTTGAAGACCATGCATGAACTTGTTGATGAGCTCAAGCTGTCTGAATCAGAAGACGTAGATGTCGTCAGGAATGGGTAGGATGATGCTATAGACCAAGAGGTCGAGCATGAGGTTGAGGATGCTATGAACGAAGGCACTCTTGATCTTGATTAGGTCCCCGATCTCGAACATCTAATTACAATTTTTGTCATTTTTTTTTGGATTGTAACTGAAGTACATAGCCCGTTCTGTGTATTTCCGATTTTATTATTGCGTATTTGGCCCGATGTTGGCCTAACGAATCAATCATTACTCGCGTTTTTTATGTCGCACCTTAAATTTTCATATTTATTGTTTCTATAGCTCGAGTTCTACTCTGATTTCAAAGCTTGTTAAGTTCAAACTATTTTATTTGATGCTAGAGCTCAATTATTTAGGCTTTAGATGTTTTAGCTCGACCTTATTTCTTGCGAACAATAAGCGAACTGCTCGAGCTATTTTAGCTAGAGCTTAATACTTGTGAATAGCTAGCAAACTGCTCGAGCTATTAGATGTTTAGCTCGAGCTCAATAATTGCGAACAATACTCGAGATATTAGATGTTTAGCTCGAGTTTAATACTTGTAAACAATAAGCAATCTGCTCGAGCTATTAGATGTTTAGCTCGATCTTAATACTGTAAACAATAAGCAACTTGCTCGAGCTATTAGATGTTTAGCTCGATCTTAATACTGTAAACAATAAGCAACTTGCTCGAGCTATTAGATGTTTAGCTCGAGCTTAATACTCGAGAATAACAAACTGTTCTAGATGTCAAAGGTTTCTAGCTCGAACTTTTTCATGTCCCAAAGATAAAAGGCACATAAACGCGATATCGGATAGATCGTGCTCTTGGGGTAGACTTTTAGGCTCATGCTCTTGGCACGAATTTTGGGCGCAAGCTCTTGGGCATGACTTTTGGGTTAACTCTTTTCTGAATTTTTTTTTTTTTGTTGGGTAACCCCAACTGCTACTATCTATAACTCGCCCATCTTCTAGGAGTAATATAGACTTGTAGGCCTTGACAAACTAAACCGCCTAAAAAGG